GTGTGTGTGTCTCTGTGTCTCTGTGTCTCTGTGTCTCTGTGTCTCTCTGTGTCTGTGCGTGTGCGTGTGCGTGTGCGTGTGCGTGTGCGTGTGCGTGTGCGTGTCTGTTTTTTTGTGTGCGTGTGTGTATGTATGTATGTATATAATATATATATATATATATATGTGCATACACATTGTCAGATCAACACCATTCGAACACTTACCGAGCAGTAGCAGCGATAACTGACGACAAGCTGAATGATCGCAACGCCTGCCGCCTAAGCCAAAGACGCCAAAATGGACACGGGATCACCAGCTGCTCTCCAAATGGAACTTAACCGTCCATGGAATTGCAGCGGAAATGCAGATTTCTCTGACACGTCATCGTACAGAAGGTTTCAAGGTTTCGCATGCGAACATCACTAGATGGCAGGAACCCTGGACAAAATCTTGGACCCGGGGAATGGACCGGGGCGTATCGACAGTCAGCTTTTTGAATTTTGATCTCGCTTCCATCGCGCGACATGTGCCTTGCATGGACATTCAATCCACTCAACCCTTCAAAAGCTGTCCAAGCCCAAGCTTAAAAACCCAGCTCTTCAAACGGCCCAACATACTGTAAGATCCTGCCTTCTTGTTTAAAATGTGGGCATAATCAGAAAGTGCATGGGGGACCTACCTACGCACCGGACTCCTAGAGCCATGGATTCATGGGGATGTTCAGAGAAACTGTCAGTTGAATGCAGGGGTCCGGACACTCAACTGCCGTGTGCCGTGCTACTACTCCTACTGCTGCCACTGCTGTTACTGCAGTGCTGCACTGCTGCGCTATGCCACTGCATTGCTGCGCTGCTGCAGACCTGGGTTGTCTTGCCAAAACGATGTGTTTAGCAAGCCATCATGACTACCAGGCCATGCTTGGCCAACATATTACAACCTGTTCTTGATGCTACGTACTACGACCACTACGCTACGATTGCTCCTCCTCCTCCTTCTCCTACTCCAGCTGAAAAGCAACCGTAGAACCAAGATAGCAAAAACTCTCAAAATGCGCCATCTCTGGCGTCCCAATCGTTCACGCACTGCCTCATCGATTTGTGGGGACGCATGCTTGGCTGTGAGTCTAACCTCACGCAAAATCAACCGCACTGGCACAGGCTGGCACAGGTCGAGGCAATTGCCAAATGTGACGCAAACAAGCGGCGCTGGTTGTGCTGGCTCCTCCACCGGTTGTACTGTTGGAGCATTCGCCATCTCTGCGGACATCTCCGACATGACAGAAAGTCCAGGATCCTGGCCGCAGGCCACGCAAGACCTCCTGTTCTAACCTTCCCTGTCAGGGAAGCTGATCACACTGACCTGCTCCACCGAGCTTTGCCATTCGTCGCCATCCTGTACTGCGCATTCTTTCAGACGGACCCCAAGACAGAGTGCAAAGATTGCCTTTTCATAATACGAGTTTAAAAGTGCTCGCTTGCGATGCCTGAAGCTGGTTCGTGGCTTTGGCTGAAACCCGACGCGAAGGCGACAAAGAGTGTGTCCAGCTCGATAGTACCGATTCTCCATAGAGCCTGGAGATACAAGTCCATTGCAGCCAGCAGGAAGAAGCTGCTGCAACAGAGAAAAGCGGGAGATAGAGAGAGGAAGGGAAGCCAACTCCAGAAGTGTACGAAATTCTGCGGTCTAGGTTCGCATCGAGGGTGTCTTGGTGGACATCTACCACACGTCTGAGCTCCAACTGTTGAGCTTCCAGGGCTCCAAGCCTCGGTTGCGAGAACAAGCGCTGGCAAAGCCGAGACTCAACATGCACCACTGCACGCCGCATGTGTTTCTATCTGTTTATACATGGGTGGACGGAATGGGTGGCTGCGCAGGTAGACTCCACTCATGCATTCCCTCCTACCCAACAAGGCGTCCACATGTTCTTAGATCACTCACCGGTATGAAGTCCGACAGTACTTGCAGCTCTGCCAACAATGCACCGATGACATCAAAGAACATGCCACTCGCATTTACCCCACAGCGCCAGCAGCGCAAACCACTGCCACAGCTGCCACCAGCACAATCACACACACAACGTCTCAGTCTCACAACCACATTCACAACCACCAGCTACGGCAACAAGCAGTCCTAAGCACCACTATAACGGAGAAAGCCACTTCACTGCTGAACCCCGCCGACAGCAACTTTCTAGCTGAGCATCAGGTCCCTCGCCAAAGAGGCTATCTGGTCTTCCATACTCACTCCCCGTGATGCCTGGAGCATTTCGGTCAAAGCGAACGCGTAGAATGATATTTCTTTCCTTTCGTGTGCCAGCTTTGCCCCGTTTTGGTTGTGCTTCAACTTGTGCATAATACACGTCACTCCCCCCTCATGTGAGCAACATGAGAGCAAACATCAGCGGCACTGGACTAGACCCCTCTGCGATTCCCAGGTTGGAAACTCAAACACCCAAACTGCGGTGAGCACGCCGAAAGTAGTGTGGCCCTGCCAAGAATTCAGAACCCGAAGCAATGCGACGTCTAAATGCCAGCGGCACGGTCGTGAGAGCTACAGCAGACTGCGAACATCCTGTATTTTCTATTGACAACAGCGCCCCGGCGGATCGAGCCGGCACACTTCCAGTAACCAAATCCTTCTTCAATCTGAGCGTAAGAACCTGTGGTGTTGCCACACCGCTTGGAGAATACGCTTCTACTCGAGCTAGACCAAAGAAGTGGCCACAAGCCGCTCAACGCTCCGACGGGCCTTCGCACGATCCCCTCCGCAGTCTGATGCATACAGCTTTGGACAGCATCTAGAAAGGAAGGCCTTCTTGGCCCTCCTTGGACCAAGCGGCAAGGCACGAGAACGGCATCTTTCAAGCTCAAGGCACAAAGCAAGCGACCTGAGCCGAACGGACACAGGTCCCATTTCATCGCCAGAAACATGTGTGAAACCTCTAGTATGCATTGGAGCACAACGGGATCACACTAAATTGCAGCTCGACAGCATGGAATGCCGCGTAGCGACCGGCACTGAACATGAGATCATATTATGACGAATGCAGCATTCGAGGCTTGGCCGGAAAACTCGCTGCCTTCTTCGTCGCTCAGCAGGCGAAGGTGACACTGTTTTGTGATCACCGGCTGCTGGCCATTGGGCATGGTGAAACTGGTGGCCGCAAGCGCAGCTCTTCAATTCATAACATATCGACCAGATAATGTCATCTGAACGCTGGGAAGCAACCTTAGTTTGAGAGATGCACAGTGAACACGAGGAGGCCGTAAAGCAGAACGGTCCGTCTGAAGTAATCCAGAAACCAAACATGAGGACAGCAGCACCGCGCATCCGAAACCCCTCGAGTGACACGCGCTGATAAGACACGACCGTCCCTTTTCCATCCTTGTCAGCTCGCCGAGCAGCGCCAGCTCATCTTGAAGGCGAGAGCCATTACGCCGCGCCAGGATACCCATGTTTTTCGGCGAAGGTTTTATCACATTGGCTTCAGCCAATGCGATGAAAAGCTGCCTCGGCGAGAAAACCCCAACGAACTGGGCATATAATGAAAGGTATGCACTCAACTCGCAGGTTCTGGCAGCTGCGTGGCTGCATGCCATTGGTCAAATTTTTCACATCGCTTGCGAGCAGGATCCTTAGCCACGAGTGTGAATTGCAAGCCATGGCCAACATCTGCTTCAAAGGAATGGTACCGAGAAACCATGACAACATGGAGGTATGCCTGAAATCATGGGGGAATGCAGCAAAAGTTCTGATCAATAGCACGAGCTGGACCTTTGCAACGAAGGATTCCATCGATGAAATCATCACAAGTGATTTCGCCATCTCCTGCATGTGTTTGGACATACTGCCGCAGAGCAAGACTTTACCATGGGCCTGCTACTCACAGACTCAAACCATGCCAAACCACACCGGATTCAGGCGAGGCTCCATTTTGCAACAAACGAAACAGCGCAGTGCTTTCATGAACATCGATCTCCAAGCTCTCCAAGTAAACTTGTACCCGAATATCTTGCATCAACTCATTCCTCAACTGAATGCGCATGAGCTGAGACGTCCTTTTTGCGCACAGCACAACGGGTCACAGCCAAGGAGCAATTCATCCTCAGTCAGAACTCCATCTCCACTTTCGTCGCAAGCTCGGAAGATACCTCAGCCAAAACAAATGGAATCGAGTGGGCAAAGCATCGAGATCGATGAGCAACTCTTGCACCAATTAATCCAGGACACTCTCCAATTTCCGAACGTAAGTAGCCTTCTTGCGCAATCGTTCTTGAACGAGAATCTCCGCATCATTGTTGGCGGCTTCTAAAGTTTCACGCAAGAAAATTGCGGAAATAACGCGAATGACCTGATCAATACTCCGTGACAACATCACGGCGAAACATACCGAGATCATTTGAGTGGAACACACGAGCCAAGGCTGCGACTGCGAACACCACGAATGTAATATAAATCATATAAAATATAACATATCCATGGCCTGCGTTTTCCAACACCTTGCGCAAGTGAGCTTCGATTCTGGGTATGATGTCACGCGATTTGCCAATGCATCCAAAGCTCAGGGCGTGCATAAACTGGCCAATTCCCTGCAAATGTCATCTCGTACCTGATGTTGTCGTTGTTGTGTTGGTGCCCCTTGGAACCTGGGTAATGAAATTTGGTTTTTGCTGAGCCGCAACCTGACGTGGGTTTGCTGCGTAGAGGGGCCCGGGAACCCGGCATTCACAAAACCCCAACATCAGTTGTGGTTCCACCGTTGCCACGTGGCCAAATCAAAGCAAACGATAACCGCAAGAACTCAAGACATCCCGGATCGGAGTTGCAGAGGTCGGCCAAGGTCATGCCCATGCCATGCCCGGGGTGCTTCTCGCCATGTGAACAATGGACAACAAGAAGTCATGCCACGTCTTAACTACGAGGCTTTCCCCTGTGTGACCACATATGCCACGAGCATGAAAAAAAGTATTCAGTCGAAGATCGCATCCATTTAGGCTACTGCATTTGCTCGGCCCACTTGTCCTTTCGCAATGCCTCACCACGAGCGCACTCACAGGAAATGCTTTGGTCACACATTCGGTTTCACATTCACCCCGGGCCCAAAAAGGTAACTCCTAGGCTCCTAGGGGCCAGGTACTGTCACGAACCTACCTCGGCTCGAATCCCCCACCAAATGCAATCGCGATTTAACACGCGCTGCACACCCAATTTGGAGAGGATGGCCCCAGAGGGCAAAAGAGGCGATGCGTGGGCGGGCAAAGAAATCTAACTCCCCAAGCACTGCTACAAATACTGGAACACAAGCATGGTCAGCACCAGCCGGAGTCCAGCGGAAAAAACGAATTATGCAGTACGAAACCATACCCGGACCAGGTAGTAAAGTTGCCGTGGTGGTACCCTGTCACTTCCAAGAAGAAGGACTTGGAGTTGCCACCACCTTAGCTCCGTCTGCCCTCGCCGGGGCAAAGGCCGACGTGAGAAACACCTTAGTCAGGGAGCTCCTCCCTCCCCGCACGCCGCGGGAAGAGGGAAGGAAGCCCAAGCGGGATAAGAACGACGAGAACGCCACTCGGCGTTCCGGATGCTGCCCAATTGGGAAATCAAGAATCAAGGCCACATCGTGGTCACAGGATCTGACGCCCCAACCCAAGCGCTGAGCGACAAGGGAAGAAGGACGAGGAAGAAGTCTGAGAGCTGACAGACATGAAAAACAGGACCAGGAGGAGTCCACTTCGCATCTGTGGAGGCCCCTCCGCACATCACAGCACTGCCGTCAGCATCTTGTTTCTGAGCGAGGGCTCGGAGCCGACGCACCAAGCAAGGACCGACCCGAAGCCCAGCAGTACGAGCGATCGCGCTGTCCCGACGGGACTCATGAGCGAGCCACGCCCCAACCTCCGAAACCCGCCAGGAGTCCCGAAGCAAATGAGCAGCCTTGTCCTGGAGGGCCCGGGAGGCCCTGACATCCCAAGCCCCATGAGCATCATCCCCAAACAGACCCCACCTACGAGCCCTAGGAGCCCAACCAAAACGAGAGAACTCCTTAGCTGAGAGCAGTCCATCGGCTTAAGGCTCCAACCGTCCTGATCAAAGCCATGAGACTGAGGTCCGAGCCATGTCCTGGCAAAAGCACTCGCTGAAGCTCTCTGCTAGACCTGTCGCCCCCTGCGGCTCGAGGAATCACTGCCAACCGAAAATGAGTGGCATAGTGTTTGCGATTCGCTTGTTTCACAGGCAAGCCACCAATCACAGCCCCCCACGCAGCTTTGGGAGCATACGTGATGGATGCGAGGAAAGCCTCAGTCTTGTGAGACAACGGAAGATAAGCTAATCTCATCGCCAGAAGATCGGCCTTGGCACGGCGGGCCTCTTCCTCAGCAGAGCGCTTGCGATGCGGGATCCCAACCGTGATACCCAGCATTTCAGCCGACTCAGCGACCTGCACCTGATTCCTAAAACACTCATTCAAGGCCCTGCGAGAACGAACAAAGAATTGAGTTTTATCATGGTTGGTACGAAGCCTAGTGAGCTCCTCAAAAGACCTCCAACACTCGACCGCACTCAACAGGGCAGCCCTACACCAATCGAAACTGAGCGCCCTGCCTGATGCACATTCAAGAGGCACCGAACCATCATGATACAACTCAATCTTACTTCGCAATGCTCGTTCTCCTTTTCTAGCTGCTGCCTGATGTCCAGTACGCATGATGACAGTCTCTGCAATCTCTACAGTATGAATTCGCCGGAATGTCAAAGGACGAAGCAACGGCTTGCAAAAGACCTAGAGGTCTAGATTAACACTGAAGGAAACTACCTCGAGGCTGCAGACGTGGCGAGAGGCGAGTGCACGCAGAGGTCTCCTGGGCGTGCAGGATTCTTGACTCGGGTCGCTCGTGTAGCAACTCTGTTGCAGTGCGGTCTCCGGCTGAGAGAAATGCAAAGAGGCACGGCCTACTGGTGATTCTGCGAGATGTACAAAGGGAATCATGGTCTTAACTAACCTAAAGTCTCTGGCCTACAGAAGTCTATCCTGCAACACATGGCTTAGAGAACTTAAGAGGGAAGTCAATCTGCCAAGTACCCGATGTGCAAGCTAATCTAATGGGCTCACGAGAGATTACACCCTTGTTGAGGCCATCACAAGACATATCTCGCGTGTCACACCACGCCAAACTGTTAACTTCGCATCTCAACAGTTGACCCAAAGCAAGAAGATGCAACAGCACTGCACCATCTGTGCAGCGAGCCTCCTCCGAAGTGGCTCCTAGAAACACTGCCATTGCATCGATCACCAAGGTTAACTGAAGCGCATTGTTCATCTGCTCTTGTTTCTTAATCAGTTCTGCCGCAGACTGGCATCCCTGAAGAACCTCAGTGATTCCACTGTTGATCGTGATCGCAAGACCACACATATCAACTGCATTCAGCAACTCAGCCGTGGTAGTGCTTCGACACACGCGGGTTTGTTTCCGACAAACGAATCCAAGGATCTGAAGCGAATTGGCACCTTGACTGGGACCTTCTCTGTCGGTAAGTGCAATTATGCCCGACCTCATCGCGAGATGATCCTGTCCTTCACCTTTGAAACTACTATCGCTTATTGCAACAAGCTTCCACGGATGTGCCAATTTCTTATACCTTAGGCATAGAGGTTTAAGCTTCAAATACTTCAGTACACGATTCAAGTTTGCAAGGTCTTGCACGCCCGGGTTCTTTAAACGGCGCTGCAGAGCTGCCACATATACGGAAATGTCGGTCTAGTCTGAGTACACCAAGCTACCCCACCTAACAGAGACATATACTTTTGGGCCAGTTCAGGTCCTACAAGGTCATCAGCAGGCGAAGCTTTAGGCGATGCTTCGGCAATTGGACGAAGTTCGGAAACATAGTGTTCCTGAGACACTGTTCTGCTTCCGTCAGGCTCAAGCTTGTGTTTTAAGCCCAAATGCTCAAAGTCATCGGTTTCAAGCTTGAGTGCATCAAACTCCTCCTCAAGCGCCTTCACAGTGCGTGCTATTTCGCTAGGCAACCCAGTTATCTTAAGATCGTCTACATGAACCGAAAGAAGAAGTATCAGGCGACCATCTGCATGCAGAACGTAAAGTTGGGGATCGACGTTTCTTGGACTCAGCCCAACTTTCTGTAGCACACGCTTGAGTGCGAGGTTCCACAGCCTTGGAGCATCTTTCAATCCAAATCCAGGCTTTAGCAGATGGAGTACTTCAGTTTCTGGGTCGAAGCTTTCAAGACCTGGGACAGAGCGAATGAGTTCCAAGGAACCGGGCGGCAACAGCAGTTGCACTTCGCGCAATTCCTTGTCTACACCTGAACGGTGCAGCTCCTCAAAAGAGAGTCCACGAAGGAATGCTTCTGATACATCAGCAGACTTCAACGGCCATCCTTGCTGAACGGAGATAGCCCAGAGTAGTCGCTGACCCCAGCGGGAGGTCGTTGAAGCATAACTTTCAACACTCTGAGTGTCCCTAAAGCCTTGAACCACCAATCTAGCCTTAACGTCACGCTCTCCCTGTATATTCTTCCACTTGAGAACCCACTTACTCTGAAGAGCATTACGAGCTGAGGCCTTGGAACCTCGGCGCCAAGCCTTGTGACCATTCCATCGAAGCAACTCCTTCACCATTGCGCGTCTGCAACGATCAACGTTCTCCAGAGCCTCTTGACGAGTTAAGATGTTGTTGGCTCTTTCGATCACGGCTTCTGCTTCGCCGGTCATATTCAAGACAAGAGTCTCGTTCGAAGCCAGCTGCTTGTCAGAAGTTGCTAAGTACCGTGCTGCCTGCTTGGAGAACTCAAGTTTCAGAGGCTCCTCCTTCAACTCTTTCGTGTTGAAGACAAGAGAAGGCTCAGCAGCTGAGTCCACGCAGACTTCTGGAGGTCCGCTTGTGAAGGCAAAAGGTTCAACATCATCATCGGTTCCGTCCGATTGACTACCTTCTGCACGTTGCTCTGATGATTCAGTCGCGGCGTCCGGCGTTCCAATATCGAAGATTTCAGGACCGGTTTGGTCCGTGCCTGCACGGTCCGTGAGAGCGCGAACCCGTCGCCTGCGCATTACTGCCTCATTCACCTCAGCAAGACGTGGCAAAGCAGGGTCGTGGACCCCGCCAATGTTCGGAATTTCGTGCCCGACTTGCCGCAGGCTCAAGACGGTTTCGGAATCTTCACTGAAGAATTGCAAGAAACATAGATTCTTGGCTTCAACATCACAGAGCCGCGCAAAATTGATTGGCTGTGTGCCCGGAAGGAACATGTGATGCCAAACAACTCCACGACCCTTCTCCCACCAAATGAGCATCGATTCGTCGCATCGCACACCAGACAGGATATTCAGGCCGTTTCCAAGCCGAAACGGTACCACCCCTGAAAATTGAAGATTACAGGCGGCCAAATGCAGTCCTGCAACTAGAACATCAGGAAACTTAGCGTTTTCGGCAAAGTTACGCCACACACCCTGTTGTCTAAACCATCCTAGCCCAACGGATTGCTTGTCCAAGGTTTCGGAGTTTCGGCAGTAAGGCAGATGAGTCCAGAGGGCGTGTTGTGCGGCTCATCTGAAAGAAACGTCGTAAACATAAGTGCCCTACGAAT